ACCAAAGAAGCAAGATCCAGCTGGAGTTTTGGCTCTGGACATTGCGACCTCGATGCAAAAAGAGATGGTTACAATGAACYAGAGGMTGAAAGAGATGGCGTTGGGAATAAAAAATCCATTAGCCAYGCCGAYACAACCTGTGYAGTCRGATTATTGCACTCCTGCCCCTRTTTGCCAAGTCAACGATCTCATTTGTTCATTTTGYAGTGAAAACCAYATTTATGATAATTGTCCACATAAYCCTGCTTCCGTTTTTTATGTAGGACATGGGAACAATAGGAACTTTAACCCATATTCGAACACCTASAACCCARGTTGGAGGCAYCACCCTAATTTCTCATGGGGAGGTCAAGGAGGTTCGAGCGGTTTTAATCAAGGGCAGAGCCAGCAGAAYAAGCAGCCCTATGTTCCACCTACAYARCAATAYATCCCGCCACYGCAACAGCAGTACAATYAGAGAACACAGACTCCACCAGTTCMAWATAAYAACTCAAASCTTGAGAATATGATGAAGRAGTACATGGCCCGAACCGACGCAGTGATACAATCCCAAGCGGCATCAATGAGGAATTTCGAGACCCAATTGGGACAGCTCGCCAATGAATTGAAGAATAGACCACAAGGTTCTTTTCCAGGCCATACTGAATTACCAAAACGAGAAGGGAAAGAACAGTGCAAAGCTGTCACCCTTAGGAGTGGACTGACATATGATGGACCAGCAATGCCAACAACAGATGTACAGATTCCGTCCACTGAACCAACTGTAAAGATACCAGAGAATCCAACAACACCAGAAAAAGAAAATATTAGAAAAGGCAATGAGGACACCCCGAGTGTTCCTCCACAGGTACAACCTTCTTTTACCCCTACTCCACCGTTTCCACAAAGATTAGTTAAGAAAAATAATGATTCCCAGTTTAGAAAAATTTTAGATATTTTAAAACAATTGCATATTAATATACCATTACTGGATGCTCTAGAACAGATGCCAAATTATGCTAAGTGTTTGAAAGATATAGTTTCTAGGAAGAAAAAGATAGGAGAGCATGAACTTGTAGCCATGACAAAATGTAGTAGTGAAGCTGTAGGCAGCCCGCTACCCATGAAATGTAACCATCCTGGCAGTTTTACCATTCCATGTTCCATAGGAGGGAAAAACTTAGGTAGGGCATTATGTGATCTAGGCGCTAGCATTAATCTTATGCCATTATCAG